ACAGGCGGGCCGCAGCTTTGCGGGGTAAAAACCTAAAACCTGAACCCGATCTGTATCTATATTATGTAATATTTGTCAAAGTAGCACCGTTCGAAGCTTTCCACCCGGAAGCGTCCGTAGTCTAGGGGTATGATAGGTCCCTGCCACGGACCAGGCCGGGGTTCGAGTCCCCGCGGACGCAGAGATTTTGCAGCCGTTTTGCACCTCTATAACGGTGTTACAGCGGTTTTGCAACAGTTCCGTGTCTCGTTTCTCCTAATGTCATGAAATACTGGGCAAAACCTAGCTGTCCAGACTAGACCTTCCCCTCTTTCAGCAGTTGTGGACGCTCTAAACGCACACGTCGCCGAACCTGTTGCGTGGGCTGCTGATTTGTTTGCTCGGGTCCAGAGATTCGCCTGTGCCGGTGTATACGCAATTGCCGGCCGCCGCACAGTAGGTAACTCCATTACCAGGGGTGTTGATGCACTGGACAGCGTGCTGGGCCTGCCTGCCAACAGAGGAGGCGGCGGGTGGCGTGTTGCTCTTTGACGGCTTGTGTGCAGGGACAGGGGCCAACGCTGCCGACGCCCTGGGCGACCCGAGTTTGGTGGGTGCATATCAGTTTTTGCACAAGCGGCCCCGCCTGCTCTCCATGCACAGCCAACCCTACAGGTTTGTCCGCAATGATGAGCGCGTCGTCACCCACACCCGGCGTGAACCTCAGCTTTCCACCGGGTTGGCTGGAGGAGAAGCAGCTGAATAAACCCCCGTGTCAAAATGTCCATCCTCAGGCTGAGGTCAGGTGATTTGTGGTGCAAGTACCGGCGGAAAGGTACGAGCAGGGACACCTTGTTCGCTTTGTGCACTCTGCTGCTTGCCGCACACTACTAGTACTTCGTGTGAATCCCCGGTGAGACGGTGACGGCCGACTACAACTCCAATGTAGTTGCTCCAACTCCAGTCTAAAGTCCTCAAATAGATCCACCAGCGTCGTTACCAGCGTCGGCGTCGATTGCGCAAGATTCGACACACACAGCAGAGCATGCACGTGTCAGCGCCGCTTGCCTTGGTTCTCAGAACCCGCCGCTCCCTCCTGCACGACACTTCGATTCACTGTTTCGGATATGTTACATCGGACCCTCCCGAACGCTGTGCGTAAGTTAGGAGGCCGCCCTGTCGACACGCCCTGTTTATTCTGCAGTCCGTTTGTGTGCCCCCGCCGTACGAACGCACCATCTGCGCAGGTGATGCTCGCTGTGCGTGCTTGCTGGCACGCAACATAGAGCATCGCCCTTGTCCCGCCCCGCTTGTTCACCAGATTTAACAATCACCCACACGCTCACTTGCGATCTCAGGTGTCCAGCATGCAGAGCGGTTACGGCCGGTATGTCAAGGACGACACAGCCGCCACGCCTGCTTGGAAGACGTGTTTTCTTGCCATTGTTTCCTGGATTGTGAGAAATCATAGTCATGGTGCAAATTTCGACCCTTGCGCCTCACAATCCCACCCTATGCTGCGAACGCTGACTCGCTTTATGAGTTGCCATTGCCTTCAGGCGCCTGTCCATGACCGAAGGCGACTGCACAACTTCGTATACCAGCCCATGGCACGCCGCAAAGACCTGCTGCCGCCGCTTGCCTCGCAACGCTGGACCCTCCCGCACCGCTGGGCTTGGCTGGTCCTGCTTTCTGGGTGCTCAACCAACTTGACCCCTTGCTGCAACACGGGCAGGAATTGAGGGTTGAGGGCGTGGAAGCAACCGACGCAGTATTCACACGTTCACCGTTTTGCCCGTGTGCGGCGGCCAACTGCACGGCGCGCGTGGCGCCCTAACAAGTTTGGCGGGTGCGACAACTGATGCTTGTGCGTAGCAATTGCCAATGCCCTCACATTGTGCTGTGCAGTCAAAGTCATGGAGTTCACTCACTTCCAAGCAGCAACATTTGCAGCGACTTTATGCGGCGTTGCGTCTGTCTCTTCAATCCTTCCCAACATGCGCCCTTGCTCCTGCCTCCATCGATCGTGCGCATGTGCGTCAACTCACCAAGGGACCATGCTGTAAGTACACCGGGCCGCCCCGGGCACATTGCATGTCTTTTTCAGCGTTATGCAGTCAGTGAGCCCCTCTCACCAATGCCGTAGGGTCACTGTTAGGACGATTATTACAGCATCTCCCGGACGCCCTCCTTCGGGGCAAACCATGCTTATGGGATTGGACTTTGACGTCAAAAGCCTACGGTTGACACAAGGTGAGTTGTTGCAGGCATGCAGGGGCCAGCAACAACAGGGGCGAATATGCATGCACGCCCCTTGCACCACTGGCTTATCTGCGAAACATCCCCCAGCACCGCAGCAGCACCATAAAAGCCCCGGTCACAATGGCGCAGAGGCCCCAGAACCACCAGAAGCCCTGGGGCCACTTGTAGGCTGTCACTGACTCGAAGTTGGTGCCAAACACACCTGAGGTGGCAGCAATTGAGAACACGAGCGTGTTAGCGCCAAGCGACACATCAGGTTGTGCAGTGAGCAGAGCAGGGTGCACCGTGCGTACTGTGAGGCTGCTGCGGGCAGGCGTGTGCGAGCCTGCCGTGAGCGAGGCGCAAACAGCAGGTGGTAGGCAAAATTAGCAGGACAACTGCTCCACGCAACGCTTACCTGCCAGGAACGTCAGCGGCAGGAAGACGGTGTTGATAATCGAAAGCATGGCCATGCTGCTGTTGGTCTGGTGGCTGATGCTGTTGAATATCAGCTCGATCAGCTCCTTGGCCTGCGCGCGCATGTGTGTGTGTGTGTGTGTGCGCATGTGTGTGTATGTGTGTTTGCGTGCGTGCGTGCATGTGT